AAACAAGCGAGCAGGATACAGACCAAGAACATATCCCCAAGGAAGAAGCAGCATTGGAACTCCCTGATAAGGAATTCAAAAGAATTATACTTAGGTATCTTCACAGGATTGAGAGACAAATCAAGGAAAACACTGACAAAATTAAGGAAAACACAGACAAAACCCTAGAACAATTTCGGAAAAAAATACAAGAACAAAATGAAAAATTAGAAATGATACAAAATCTACACACAGAAATGCAGAAGAGAAATACTAAATTTTCAGAAATAGATAACACATTGAAAGGGCAAAGGAGTAGAATTGACTCAATGGAAGACAGAATTAATGAGATTGAAGACAAATACCTGAATACTTCATTGGAAAAGAATCAATCAGAAAAAAAGATCAAAACAAAATGAAGAAAGTCTAAGGATCATGTGGGATACCATCAAAAGAAATAACCTACATGTAATTGGAATTCCAGAACAGGAAGAGAAAAAGAAAACCATTGAGAAAGTTGTCCAAGATTTGTTGGAAGAGCACTTCCCTGATATAATGAAAGATGAGAACATATCCATTCAAGAAATCCAATGAACCCCAAACAGGATAGACCCCAAAAGGAAATCACCAAGACATATTATCATCACACTCACCAAAACTAAAGACAAAGAAAGAATTCTGAAAGCAGCATGGGAAAAATGAAAAGTTACCTACAAAACCAAAAAAACCAAACTCACTGCTGTCAAGTTGGATCCAACTCATAGCAACCCCTCCTTGGGTTTCTGAGGCAGTATCATTATAGAAGTAGATTGCCCAATCTTCCTTCCAAGGAGTGGCTGGTGGGTTTGAACTGCCAGCCTTCTGGTTAGCAGTCAAATGCCATAGGCATTACACCACCAGAGCTCCCAGTTACCTACAAAGGACAACCAATAAGAATAAGCTCTGATTTCTTAGCAGAAACCATGCAAGTGAGAAGGCAATGGGACAGTATATATAAAATGCTAAAGGAGAAAAATTTCCAACCAGGGATTATATACCCAGCAAAATTGTCCCTCAAATATGATGGTGAAATTAGGAGATTTCCAGATAGGCAGAAATTAAGGGAATTTGTTAAGATCGCACCAACATTACAAGAGATACTACAGGGAGTCCTCTTGCTTGAACAATTTCTCTTAGAAAGATCAGCACGAGGCTAGTCCCCATGAGACGGAGGTCAAGAATGTCCCAAATGTACAAACTACCATACCACTCCATCATTTCAGACATTAATCCCTCCTCCTCCTCCTCCCAGTAATTTCCCCAGTCTTAGGGTTCTGAATTTTGCTGTAATGCCTCACAGGACTCACAAACACCCAAGGGTTTGTTTCACGTAGTAGTGGTGGAGGCTGACAGGCTGGCGAGTCCCGGGTCTGTGAGTAGGAGTGGTGGAGGCTGGCAGGCTGGCGAGTCCCGGGTCCGTGAGTAGGAGTGGTGGAGGCTGGCAGGCTGGAGAGTCCTGGGTCCGTGAGTAGGTCTGGCGAATTCTCCCAACTCTCGGGGTTTGATGAACCCCGATCAGTAGATCAGACGGTGGCTATTGTCCCAAGTCTAGGGGTGAGACAAGGATGATCCAAGAAACAGAAACTGGAGCAAGAGGAGGAGCGAATCTTCCCAGGAGATCCACCAGCAATGCTCCAGCCCAATCTATCAGTTATAACTGCCAAGGTCTGAATTCCAACTGCCAGTCATTATAGGGTTCCTCAGGAACTTGACTTCCACCAGCAATGCTCCAGCCCAATCTATCAGTTATAACTGCCAAGGTCTAAATTCCAACTGCCAGTCATTATAGGGAATGACTACTACCAGCTGCCCAGCTAAGTTGATACATGAACTTAACTATCACACCACCTCAAACAGGCATAGATAATGGGATTTACAAAACACCACAGAATGGAGGGCAATGGCTAGAAGGACCACATCAAGCAATTCACTGCACCTCTGAACAGAGAACTAATAATAGCAAACAACAACCAACCATTAATACACAAGATGACATAATCCAGAAACCTACACAACTATGGAAGTATCCAAAGTAAAATAAGCTTACGAGATTATAAACAGGGAGTCAGAGACATCAATTGGCAAATGAGGACAACTACAAACCAAAAAGAAGGAAAAAATTGTGTCGTTACAGAACTTCTAAATGGTGAGAAGTCAAGAGATCTGTAAGATAGAATGGACCATTCTAAACTCTGGGAGAAAAGTATAAATCACAGAGTAACCTCAAAGAAAAGTGATAAACCTTCACATCATAATGAAAAAGAGGACAAGTACAAATATTTAGCAAATACTAAAACAATAGCAACAAAGAAAATGATAACATGATTCATAAACATAATGAGCTTAGCACAGAAAATTATATGGAACAAAGAAACCAGGAACACCATGAAAAAACACATAACAAAATGATGGCAACCAATTCATACTTGTCGATAATTACACTGAATGTCAGTGGATTAAATGCACCACTCAAGCGATGGAGAGTTGCACACTGGATAAGAAAACATAATCCTTCAATATAAAGAATAATGTAGAATCAGCAAAACACTGCATAACATGGATGAACTTGGAGGACATTATGCTGAGTGAAATAAGTCAATCACAGAAGGACAAATACTGTATTAGTCCACTACTGTAAAAAGTCAAGGAAAGGTTTATCTATGGAAGGAAATTTTCTTTATTGGTAACCAGGGGTGGGAGGGGAGGGGAGGGAACACAGTTAGACAGGTAGAGATAAGTATTGATTTGGGTGAAGAGAAGGGCAGTGAACTAAATGTGAGTGGACACAGTGGTATCAAGGAAAAGGAAGACATACAGAGTGCATGGGAGGTACATACAACAAAGATGAGCCATTTTGCACATACAGTACTGTGTTGTCAGTGATGGTAAACATTGATCTACGGGTGGATAGAAGGGTGGACAGGCTGAACGATTAGGTATGTCTATACAGGGGGGAGTGTGCCCAAGACCATGTATAGGGTTGGCAGACAATGTTTCTACAAGTGTATACATATGTTCTGTAAGAATTCCCAGGTATATAGTAGAGCTAACAAAGGACAAGGTTGTTGTCACTTCTTGGCCACAGGCAGCTACCCACAGGGAGTAAGTAGTTGGACCTGTGGGCTTGGGACCATAGTCACAGAGGACATCAAACTCAATTGGCATAATATACTACCCAAAACATTGTTCCACATCCTACTTTGGCGAGTAGCGACTGGGATCTTAGAAGCTTTCAAGAGACCATCTAGGTGCAATGATAGGTCTCTCCTTGTCCAGAGCAGAGAAGAATGAGGCAAACCAAAGATACATGGAGACAATTAGTCCAAGTGACTGGTACACCATGTGATCCTCAGCCTATACGGCTATGAGACCAGAAGAACCAGATGGTGCCTGGCTACCACTGTCAACCACTCCGAGGGACATTTACGTAGGAGATCCTGGATAGAGTGGGAGAATAATATGGAACAAAACTCAAAATCATTAAAAAAAAAATAAAAGGGACCAGGTTTGCCAGTCTGATAGAGCCTGATGGAACCACTGAGACTGTGGCCCGTAGCTCCCCTTTAGGTCTGGAATTGAAACCCCTCCTGTGGCTTCCACCCAAACAAAAGACAAGCATATGAGCTGAACATTTATATTAGGTAGATACACTTCTTGGACAGATCAATCATGGGAGAATAGAAAGGCTCTGTATGCACAGGGACATAGCTCAGGGGTCAGGAGTGCATGGAGGGAAGGACAGGAAGAGATAACTGTGGGGAGGAAGTGAGAGGAGAGCTGTTGATTGTGGGAAATTGTAGTCAATGTCATGAGACAAAGTGTATGTGAACTTCTGTATAGAAAGTGAATTTGCTCTGTAAACTTTCACCCAAATCAGAATAAAAATAAAAAAGTCCTTTAAATTTTCTAGGTGCCCATCAAGAGAAGAATGGATAACCATACTGTGGTACACACACACAATATTATGCAACACTAAAGAATAATGTAGAATCTGCAAAACACTGCATAACATGGAGGAACTTGGAAGACATGCTGAGTCAAATAAGTCAATCACAAAAGGACAAATATTGTATTAGTTCATTATTTAAAAAATCAAGGAAAGGTTTCTATATGGAAGGAAACTCTCTGTTGGTTATTAGGGGTGGGAGGGGTGGGGAAGGAACACTGCAAAAATAAATAAACAAACAAACAAACTTCTTAGCATTTTAAAAAAAAGTTCTTTTCAGTTTTTTGAAGTTTTGAAACTTTACTTACTGAATTACTTTTTGGGGCACGTATGAGTATTAGAAGAGTAGTAGCTTTACTATGATTTAGTAATCTGTATTATGACTAACATTATCTCCCGTACCTAAATTAGCCTTTAGCTTTTCAAAGCGGTTTGGACCTCAAAAGATGGCGATTTGCTAATTGTATATATATTAAAAAGAATGTGGTAATGGAGTCAAAACAGTCCCAAAAGAAAATGTCTGAATCTCCTTTTTGTTGATAGCCCTGGTTCCGGAGGTACATGGATGATTACCCTGGTGACTATTTTGAAGGACAAAATATTCCTGTATATGTGTAATTTATGGCTTGTTTCTTAACAATCTCTCAAATTTCCTTATACTCTCACTTCTTTTCTTAAAAACAGGTCATTCCTGATTCAAATTTCCTGTAATTTGATCACAAAAATCAAAGCCTTTTTTTTTTTGTTTTCTTCATTAGAGCTCTATAGTTTTGAGCCTTATGTGATCACATTTGAATTAGGCATGATACAACTTAAATAAGAAGAGCAGTAATGTTTATATTCATAAGTATATAATAATATCTAACACCTACATAGTGCTTTATACTCTGAAAGGAGTAATTTTGTATATTTTATTTCTGAGGGTGAACATAAAGTTGTTTATAATCATGAGGAAGTATTTCCAATTACAAGTCAATGACTTTTCTTCTAGAAGAACTTGGAATAGTAGGCATGGTCCCAGGTAGAAATGACTCACCAGGAAAGGACTCCAAAGGTAAACGAGGATTCAGGAAATGTCCAGTGCAAACCATGACAGCATCAAAGACAGCTCTGTCCTGCTTGCCTTCTGTCTCTGTGATGACATCCCACTGGCCACTTACACAGAAGTCTGGACGTTTTGTTACACTGCATACAGTGGTCTGAAAGCAAAAGAGAAGCACTTGCTTCCTACCCATACTTTGGGATCTTATACAATATTAGTATGTTAGCCATGTTTGTTATTTTAAGTACACCAAGCCCCTTGATAGGAGGTCTATAAATATTGGTTTATCTTTTCAGAGAAGTTAAATAACTTTTACAAGTTCTCAAAGGTGGTAATGCAGATTAGAAGCTAAGATATCTGATTCTTTTGATTGGAAAGAAGACACAGTTTTTATTCCTGGTGAGAAGGAGATGAGATACAATATCTAATGCATTGGAAAAATGTAGGAAAGTGAGTTTTGAACCATTATAATTTCTGTAGTTAAGACTTCTAGTCATTTCTTTACAATGGGTTTTATCAACAAAGTTATTATCTACTTATTTCTCAAAAAAAAAAAAAAAAAAAATTCTACATTTTATCCTTCATAAGAGTGTTGGTATTTAAAGAATTAGGTTAATTCAGTATTTAAATGATGTATTTGAGTAAAACAGGAGCAGAAGGAGAAGTGAAGAGTCTTTAATATCTGTCTTATTCATATAGAGATACAATCAGGACAAAAATTACTTAACCATCCTATTTCTATTATGTGTTTGCTTAAGGCAGCCTCCATTCATTAACCTTCTGCAACCCAAGGTGTCTTACCTTAAACTGAATATATTTCAGAAGGTCAAAATGCTCAGCAAATTCTTGGAGATAGTTCCAAAATTTTGCTTGATTCATGAAATTGGGATAATCTTCATGGAAGGGGAAGTCACTGTAACATGACATTTCCTTGCAGACATTTGTCACTAATGACCTGTAGACCCTGGTCATCCCATCATTAGATGTTTCCTGTGGTGAAGGCATAGTTAGCTTAATGAGGTGGGGGAGATAGGAGGAAGAGAACAGAGAACCTTGTGGCTCATGCCAGCCCAGCTGAAAGGGGTTCACAAACTTTTACTAGTGCCTGCCTGTGGGTATTATATTTAACCTGTACTTTAGTTTTTGTTTAACTTAATATTATTTTCCAAAATTAATCTGTGTTATCTTGGAATACAGAAGGAAATCAAACCAACCATGGATCAAATAGCAGAAGGTACACAAACTATACCCATTGACATTTGGTGGCTTGATGTATATCACAGTGCATCAGAAAAATATATATTTTTCCTAGTACACTACAATCTTAAGGTTGTGACCACTCCCACTTATGCACATTTGCTTGTTCTATTTTTCCACTATCAAAAATCTATGCAAATGGCATCTCCTCTGTGAAGCTTTCTTTCATTCTACAAGTTACATTCTGTCTCCCCTTCTCTAACTCCCTCTGAAGGTTTCTCTTCCCTTCTACTGAAGCTTTTAGTATTTGGTCCTGCCTAGCAGATTCCTACTGAAGATCCTTCTACTCCCAGTAACCAGAACCAATCCTGGCTAGAGGCAGCTGGTATTAAACCACTTCCATCCCTACTTTCTGATGTTCAAGTCACCCTACTGCTGGCTTTACCCTGATCTGTGCCCCCACCCCCAACCCCTAACCCCCGTAATATACCATAGTTCTAACAAGAATTGGGCAGTGCCTGGGTTCTTCTTATTCTGATAATGTGAAAGCTATCCCTTAAACCTTTCAAAGTCTGGAGTTCTGCCTCATCCTTACCAGCTCTCATCCCAAATACCTGAACAATGCCTAGTGGCAGGAGCTCCATTTCCTGATACCAACTTCCATTCTCCCTAGAGTGTCATCTACTCTCTATTCACCAAAGCTGTTCAGGTTACCCAATGTTACATTCTGTTGCTTTGTCTAGAAGGCCCATAATCTGTAACTCACTAGAAAATTTCATTTGTCTACCAGATTTAACTCTTTCTTCCTTTCTCCCAACTGTTCCTGATTATGCCTCGACAATTTTCAAGATTCATCTCTTAGTAGACTAGTTCCTGCACAGTGCTTGGCACCATGCCATGTCTATGTATTGTTGCAGTGAGCAATTTACTTGTTCCTTTACTTGATCATCAAGTTAGGCTAAAGCTACCATGCCTGAGCAGGGACAAAGCAAACTGTCAGATTATAGTTGATAGAGAGGGAAAGTGTGAACCACGCACAGTAAATTTCCACAGTCCCCCGATGTCATTACTCCTCTCAAAGCAGGTGGGCTCCAGGTCTTCATCCAAGCAGCATTTGATGGAGGAGAGGCCACTCACACCAGCCCCAATTATTGCAACTCGCTTGGCCATAGTATACTCTGTTAGAAGGTCAAATAGAGCTTTTTTATACAACAGGAGTAGAAGGGAGAATTGTCACAGGACTCAACTTTTATAGAGATATTTATACCTTCCTTTTATCTTTTAGTAAGGTGCTCTGGTAGCACAGTGCCTAAGGCATCTGACTGCTAAACAGAAGGCTGGTGATTCAAATCCACCAGCCACTCTGCATGAGCAAGACTGGGCAATCTACTTCCATAAAGATTTACTGCCTCGGAAACCCAATGGGGGTGGCTATGAGTCAGAATCGACTCGACAGCAGTGGGTTTTCTTTTTTCTTTTAATCTTTTAGTGGAGGCAGAATTGGTTAAAAATGCAGGCTGTGAAATCAGGTTTAGTTTAAATTCTGGTTTTACCACATATCTTAGTTATTTAGTGCTGTGGCAACAGAAATGCCACAAGTGGCTGGCTTCAACAAACAAAAACTTATTCTCTCACAGTTTGTTGTTGTTGTTGTTGTTATGTGCCGTCGAGTCGGCCCCGACTCATAGTGACCCCTCCTTGGGTTTCCGAGGCAGTATCACTACAGAAGTAGGATTGCCCAACTTCCTTCCGAGGAGTGGCTGGTGGGTTTGAACCGCCAGCCTTCTGGTTAGCAGTCAAGTGCTTTAGCCACTATGCTACCAGAGCTCCCCTCTCACAGTTTAGGAGGCTAAAACTCCAAATTCAGGGTTAGCTGTTGGGGAAGTCTTTCTTTCTCTCTTGTTCTGGAAGATCTTTGTCTCCTTTCAACAACATCTGTGGGTCCATTCCCCCTTGGAGATCTCCATGGCTCTTGGCATACGTCTTCTTGTGGGTTTAGGAGGTATTCAGCATAGGGACCCTGGATCCAAAGGACACACTCTACTCTTCTTTCTTGATGGTAGTCAGATCGCTCCATATCTGCTGGCTTCTCTCTCCTTTTATCTCTTGTAAGATAAAAGGTGATGTAGGCCACACTCCAGGGTAACTTTCCTTACATTGGATCAGGGCTGTGACCTGATTAGGGGTGTTACATCTTACTCTAACCCCCTTACAACAGATTAGCTGATTACATCAGATCACATTATGGGGGTGATTACATCATTATATAAGTGCCAAACTACTGAGAATCATGGCCCAGCCATGTTAACACATATTTGGGGACCCAATTCAATCTATGACACCACTTATTAACTGTGTGACCTTGGAATAACTGTTAGTTCTCTCTGTGACTCACTTTTTACATCAGTAAGATGAAGATTATGATGACAATAATAATGCCTATTTAAAAGATTTGTTATAAAGATTAAATAACTGATTATGATATAAGACTTAGAAGGGTACCTGCTACATAGTAAGTGCTTAATTAAATTTAGCTCTTATTATTAGCTAGTTTATTTAGGGCCTTGGTCCCCTTAAAACTCTAGATCCTCTCAGAATTAAAAAGTCTCCTTGCTATCATCTAGTCCTCCTGAATCCTGGGAATCACAGCAAAAAGCATCTAGATATGAAGTATATAGAGGACTGAAGAATGACTCTCATGGGTCATGCTCTGACACTCAACAAGGATATTACATGAATTGAAGGGAGTCTTGACCTTGCAGACACAAGACCTGCTGACCATAATATAGAACACAGTACCCAAGGCAAGTCATATGGGACATTCTGGAGTTCAAGATGAGGTCAAATAGAAATGGGGATGTCCATATTAATAGACTGGAGGAAGTATGTCTTATGGGGATCTATAGCCAGTTTTTCTTGATTTCATAATTCTGTCTTCCACGAACCTCAACATAGCTTTTGTTTTGATCAAATGGGCTAACCAGTCAGTTAATTCTAGCAAATCAGGTTAAGGTCATGCTCTGAGGCCCATGACCTGCCAAGTAGACTCAGTTGCAAATGTTGCTTTTTCTTAAAACCCCTTTCACGAGTCCAGAAAACACACAGTAGTTGAGACCTGAGGGGGGGGGGATATATGAATATGATATTTAACTGATTTTATCTTCCTTTGAAGACATGGCAGTTTTTGAGATTTTTCTATATAACCTTATGTGATTTTTGTATCACATTGTTATTTGTCTTGGGTAACCAAGAGGGCAAATATTCATGCCAGTAAATGGGAAAACATGTATCATCATTTGACACAACTTAAGGCCACACTTCTAATAAGAGACAGAGTATGGATTTGAACCAAGTCTCTGGCTCTGAAGTCTGGGTGCTTATATCTCATTTGTCTGAGAAACTGAGGTGCCCTGTGTTTCTCACCACTAAGCCTTACTGGGGCTCAGGGTTTGTTGCAGCATTTCTGGAATTGGCTTGGGAGAGTTTGTCCCCATGATTTTATAATTTGCCTCTTGAGCAGGTTAGAACTTCTGGGCATGGCAACAAAGTAGATTTACTGACTTTACAGGGGTTGGGAGAAAGACTTCTGAGCCTTCTGACTCTATTGATTCCCCTGACTCTTGAAACAATGAGCAGATGGATTTCTGAGGGCTGTTTCCAAATCTTATTTGTCATCTTGCCCTTTGTAAGCCTGAGAGTTCCTTACCTGGTTTTTTAAACTGTCACAAAATTTACACCTCTTCCCCTTGGGCTCTGTGGTAGTTAAGTTGTGTGTCAACATGACTGGGCAGCTGGATGTGGTTATTCCCCATGATGAGATTGGTAATCAACTCCATGGTGGAATCTACTGAAGCAGCTGAGTAGCTGTCTTAGGGATGTGATCTGCTTCCCATTTATAAGAAGATGTTTTGAGGAAAGTCTCTGCACCTTTTTGGGATGCTTGGATCCTGCATGTAGCCAAGTCTTCATTCAGCAGCCTGCCATGTTCCCTGCTGATTGTGGGACTGTTTCTGGACTAGAAGTAGGGGCCTATCATGTTGTTTGGTAATCTTGGGACTATGTCATTTTATTTGTTGACCTTGGGTTTGTCAGCCTCAGCAGTCAGAAGCTGCCTGAGCTGAAAGATGCCTCCAGCTCCACTGGGGTGTGAGCAAAAGGCAGAGCTGAAATCCAAAGTCAAGGGACTTTCACCCAGGCCCTAGAGCTGGCACTTTGAAATCAGACTTCTAGCCTCCTAAACTGCAAGAGAATGAATCCCTGTTTGTTCTAGCCATCCCATTTATGGGATTTTTCTGTTAGAGCTGCACTAGAGAACCAAAACAGACTCTAAGTTTTTTTGAGTCTCTCTTTATTTGGGATAGAGAGGTGGGCTGCAGTGCTAATGGACTTTGGAGGCAGCAGAACTGGTTTGAAATCTGTCTCTGCTGCTGACTAGCCATGTGACCCAAGCACCCTAAAATAAGAAAAATACCAATGTTGAAGAAGTGAGTTTAAATAATGTGGTATTACATAAAAGTGCCTAGCAGAAATTCACTCATTGTTTCGTGTACCTTTCTAGATGTCTTTTCTTTTTCCCTCTTCTCCCTAGAAAGGACAGCTTGCACAGATAAAATATGTAGTTAAGTCTGGAAACACACCTGTGGCTTTCTTCAGGTTGAAGAGTATGAGGTCTAGACAGCTTCTAACCAGATGTAAATGACATTCACCAATAAGAATCCTTCAATTTCCAGGTTGCTAGGTAGAGGTCTGGAGTTCGTAGATCTTGGCTGTGCTTTATCTTTGCAAAAATAACTCAAAAGAAATGATTGCTAATTGAATTAGAAAAGTTAAAAATGTTCAGACTTATAGACTAGCAGCACTTTAATTCATTAATTCAACAGAGGAATCCTGGGTACCTCTAAGTGCAAGTACTGAGCCAAGTGTGGGGGATCTCTAACTATGGATTAAAATCCAGTGAATATTTAACTAAGGAAAAGGAAGACTCAGAGAGTTGCACAATAGTTACAGACAACAAAGGTAAACACTATTACATACACAATACTGCATTATCAGTAGTAACAAACACTAATCTATGAGAGGATACATAGATACATAGACAAGTTGATTAGTAGGGGAACACTCATGACCATATACAGGTTTGGCAGATGATATTTCTACATATACTTTTGTGTGTGCCATAAAAATGCCCATATATATTATAGAGCTAATAGGGGGCAAATAATCAATAACTTCTTAGCCACAACTGAAAAACTTGAGGGAGTGAGTCCCTGGGCCTGCGAGCTCATGACCATAGTCTTAGGGGACATCAAGCTTAATTGGCATAACATAATACACAAAAATATTGTTCTATATCCTACTTTGGTGACTAGTGACTGGGGTCTTAAAAGCTTGCAAGCAGCCATCTAAGTTGCAATTATTGGCCTCTCCTTGTCAGGAGCAAAGAAGAGTGAAGAAAATCAATGATTCATGGACACAGTTATTTCAAGGGACTAGTGGACCATGAGAACCTCAGCCTATATGACCCTGAGGCCAAAAGAACTAGATGGTGCCTGGCTACCACTACCAACCACTCTGAAAGGGATCAAAATTAGAAATCCTGGATAGAGCAGGAGAAAAATGTGGAACAAAACTCAAATTCATAGAAGAGACCAGGCTTACTGGTCTCATAGAGACTAGTGAAATCCCTGAGACTTTGGCCTCTTGTCACCCTTCAGGCCTGGACCTACAATCACTCCCATGGCTCAACTTTCAGCCAAACAATAGACAGACCTATGAGGTGAACAATAACACCATAAGGTAAGCACTCCTTTGATCAATCAACCATAAGAGATCAAAAGGGCAGCATTTGCCCAGGGATAAAGCTCAGAAGGCAGAAATACATAGGCAAGAAGGACAAAGGGAAATGGTAACCACAGGGAGGAGGTGAGACAAGAGCTGTTGTATTTATGTGGATTGTTGTCAATATCATGAAACAAAATGTGTATAACTGTTAAAAGGAAAACTAATTAGTTCTGCAAACTTTCATTGAAATCACAATAAAATAACAAAAAGATCCAGTGACTAAATAATAGTAATGAAGTCTTACAAAGAAAAATGACTTAGTGACTGTCTTCAAGGAGGTGCCATTATATGGAGAGAACAGACATCTCTGCCCTACCATATGTTAAATC